TTGTATATATATATATATATATATCAGTTCAGTAATTCAAAAAAATTATAAGGGTGATTAATTTGTAAATATCAATATTTCGGATGCTCTATATATAATTATTCTTATTTAAAATATCATGAGACTTATTTATGTTCATAATTAGTGAAGAAGTCATAGAGCCCACAATTCTCGTCGAAGGAGACGATATTACGTACATGTGAGATAGATATAAATTAAATATATATTAATAATATTTTAATAAATATTAACACTATCATAATATCATCAAAATAAAAATATAAAGAAAACATAACTAATATCCGCTCACAGGCCAAACGGACAGCCGCTCCACGCCCTCCAATTAGTAACTCTCAAACGGCGCTGCGCGTGACCCGTCCTTCCTCTCTCTCCTCTATGAGACAAATCGTCAAACACCTATTCAACGCGTACAAATTGCACCACCGCTGCGTCATAGTTACCAGGTCAATCCCCTTTCATTTCTAACCACCTTTCTCCTCACTTACCCTCCCCTCCTCCTCCCCAATTCCTCCCAACCAACAGCAGCATCCATCCTTCTCCATGGGCCGCGCCTCCATGGCAAAACTCAACAGCAACCATCTCCGCCAACTTCGCGACATCTTCTCCCGCTTCGACATGGACTCCGACGGCAGCCTCACCCTCCTCGAGCTCGCCGCCCTCCTCCGTTCCCTCGGTCTCAAGCCGACCGGCGACCAGATCCACGCTCTTCTTTCCAGCATGGACGCGAATGGCAACGGCACCGTGGAGTTCGACGAGCTCGCGGCGGCCATCACGCCGCTGATGAGCGAGCAGACGATCCTCAATCAAGAGCAGCTTCTCGACGTATTCAGATCATTCGATCGTGACGGAAATGGCTACATATCGGCGGCGGAGCTCGCTCGCTCCATGGCGCGGATGGGTCAACCGCTCACGTTCTGCGAGCTCACCTCCATGATGCGCGAGGCTGATACTAATGGCGATGGTGTCATTAGCTTCAACGAGTTCACCGCCGTCATGGCTAAATCTGCACATGACTTCCTCGGCTTCCCCATCACATACTAGGGCTCTGATTCTGCTTTATTGATCCCCATCGCCGTCGTTCATATTGGTCGGTTGATCTGTCCTGCGTTATTAATGGCTAATTTCTTTCTTAAATTATGCATCGATGTATATATTTTAGCAACGATGATTTTAACTGGCTAATTTTTTTCATTGAAAATTTTTAAGTCTTTCGCTTTGCTTGGTATTTGGGTATTTGACTTTGATCTCGTCAAAGGGATTGAACTGTCTGATTGATGCAACCAGCCCAAGTGAGGCTAATTAAAAAAGATCGTCCTAATTAGACTAACATGAGCATACGATAACGGGACGACAACGGTGGAATGTTGGCTATCGGTGATGATAAAACTTTGATTAATGATCTGAACTCATCATATTAAAAATGTCAATATCACAAGTGCATTGATGATGATAAATTATAGTTTTGATTGTCAAATGAAGGAAATAATTCTAAGAGTGCTTATTGTCTTGAAATTACGGTTGTTAGAAAATGCAACAGAGTCCATCCATTCTTACATGTTAAGCCTTGTCAATCATTTCACCACAAAGTGTTCTTAAAAAAAAATGGCTTAAAGATTTTGAAACAAGTCTTTAGAATTAAAACAAACTAGTACATTTTGACCTATCAATGGCTTGGAGAGCTTAGTTAGATCTAATTTTTCCCTTGTTGGGTAAAACTAAGCATTAATTTAGCTTTTTTGAATTTCTTAGTGAAACTTGAAGGTAAGATTTTCACAAAATCATATTATTTTCTTAATATTCTTATACCATATATTCATGTATGTATTCGTTTTCATTTGATGAAATGTTTAGGAATATGTACGTATATTTTATTTATTTATTTATTTTAGTTTAAATTTAGCTCAATTTAGTTTTAAATTTCTAGACATAACATCAATTTTGATTGAACAGAGCCAATCATATTTCTTTTTTGAGTCATTTTGATGCTTCTGATAGAGGAGACACTGTTAGATGCCCTTATTTTTGACTAGCCAACTTGCAGGTGATGCTCCCAAGGATACAATCTACTAGCTAACAAGGATGAATTCAATTCACAAGAGTGCATTGGAATGAGTTTCATTAGTGGAGCTCGATAAATGACCTTAAATATCATAAAATGACTTTCACAAGCTACCAAAAAAGCCCACATGTAAATGAGCCTTCCGAGCCTGCTGGATTAGGCCTCATCATGCCTCCTTTTTTTGGATTATAAACAACATCGTGTGTCCATAGCCAATAGCTAGTAGATAGAGCTTGTCAACCACACCCATCAGTGATAGCTACAATGACTATTCATGAAGACCTGACAAACTTCTTCCCGAGCTCGCCCGTATTTTTCTATCTCCTTCACTGAGCTCGCTGGTACTTATCGAGCTCCTCTGCCAAGTTTGCCTCCATTTGTCAAACTTCATCGTCGAGTTCATTTACCAGTTCTTCTAAGTTATCTGAACGACAGAAGGAAAGAGACTCTAACCCATCACTGTCTATGCCCATTTATCAACCATATGATACTTACGATGATATTTTTTCAATAATAAATCTCACATAAGCCATGTACAGTACGATGAACAATATAACATTTCTTTATTTCTTACTTTTTTGTAGCCCTGCAAAGGTAAGATCCCAATGGGCTATATAAATATAAAAAAGGCGAAATCTGGTTCTCTCTCTTCACCTCCTCCATTAATCTCATAAAGTCTCTCACATATTGTATGAATTTACGAAATATATGAGTCTTGATGTCATAAAAGAATTCGACAGACACCTTAAATTTACATATTTTTTGCCACATCTTAAAACAAGTATGTTGCATATATTACCAATTTATCAAAGTAAAATTATCATTAAGAAATTTAAGTGTACCTCTTTATAGCATTTTCAAATTGAGGAAATATTCGTGCATTACATATGTTATGTCAAGCTTGATTAGTGTATTGAGTACCCTATCTTTTCATAAATTATATTATCTAAAATGATTAACATCTTAATCTCTAAGAAACATCTTTTAGGGATATTTTAGCTAAAAAATTGTAAATTTTAACAAGCTTAATTACATGTTCAAGGCAACATTTAATGCACTCACACAACTACAAAAATCCATATTAATCAAGAAATATCAAAATTCCCAAGTCCAATACAATTAATCATTATTATATCTTAACTATGATTTATTTATCAAGACTTATTTAAACTCGAGACTTTGTATTCTTGTATTGCCCATGAGCAATGACAATCAACTAAATACTTATAAATATTAGTTGCAAAGCTAGTAGAAATAACTTTTGGATTTTAGATATTTTTATTTCATGCTCTAGAATATTTTTTGTCCAAAACTTTTATGTTCATTGCAACTCTACAACACACTTTAGGATACTAAATAACACACAAAAAACAAGATCTCCGTAGTAGACAAAGGTTATTGAACCAAACCACTTAAGGCAACGCCTCCTCTATTTGTATTTCTTTCTTTCTTGTTAGTTTCCTATCTTCTCTCTTTGAGGAATAATATTAACTGTCATTTAATTCATTTATCCTCAACTTTGAAATATAATAAGAAGTAATAAGAAGTCTTGGTCTGTGATAAAGAAGATGCTGAGAATTCATAGAATGAATATTTTGATAAAATATTTAACAACTTCACTGTAAGCTTGTGACGAGCTTTGATGTACATGAGCGAGCTCATTTGATGAGTTCTATGTTATTTAGCAAGTGTTCTCAGATGATTTTAATTGATAAGTTTATTAACAAATGAAATTTTACTGTATTGACTTTAAATAATACAGGAATATTCAAGATTATTTTTTATTTAAAATTTATATGTGAATTTATTTATGCTTTCATATGAAAAAATAATTGAATTTATAAAATATAGTAACTTTTATTGAATAATTCATAAATTAATGTATTAAATGATTTAAAAAGAGGGAGGTAGAGCTACGATTACAGATTTAGGTGGACCAGAGAGGGATGCCGTCAACATGTATGGGATTGACTGACAATGAGCAAATGATTTATGTTATGCTATTTTTTAAATTTGGTTGGCCTAGTGCATGGGGCCAAAATGGTCTAGTTCAAATTAAGGCTCAGACTTATCAGAACAAATTTTAATTTAGTTAAGTAATAAGTTTCTCAAATAATCAATTCATTTACAACCCTAATCGTATATGTGTGATAACTAGCTTATCACTATGAGACAACTATGTACATATCACTAGAAAATATTGCTATTTACGAATTTTTAATCATAAGTGTAATGTGAGTAGCAGAATAAAAGATTTTACTTATTTATTTATTTTTGAAAAATTTTAGCTCAAAGGATAATTTGCATGATTAGAACGCTAAAAAAAATTAAATCTTTAATCACTGTATCATAGATAAATTCATAAATAATAAGAAAATATCTATTATGAGCAAATATCTGCACACGCTGTAGATGGGGCTCCTTGTTCAGCCAACGATGTTGTTGCGCTGCCGTTCTGTATGAGTGCATTCGGGCCATAAGGGCGACGGCCCGCACTTAATATTTTCTACTGTGTTAGGGAAAAAGTTTTAACGCTCTTGGCCTGTCGTCCTTCCCCGAAGCCATGGGGAGCTTAGTGGCTACTTCTTCTATGCCTCCTCGGTCGTCACTCCTTCCTGCTTCATCCACCGCCGGCAGCCAAGGAGCAAAATCTTCTTCTCGGGGGAGGCTTAGGATTTGCGGACCCGTGGCCTACATGGAGAGAAGCCCAAACTCATTATCAGGGTTCGCGAGCAAGTTAATTGGGTCTCTGCCGATTGTAGGCCTCCTTGCTAGAATTGTTAATGACGAGGGAGGTGTCGGTGACGACCTAATAGATTTCGCTGAGTTCCGGCGACGGGTTGGGAAGAAGTGCAGCATTAACGATTCTCGCGCCTTCATCGAGTTCAAGGACCGCCGCGGTGGGGTACGATTGCTTCCCTTTGTTGATGCGAAGTGATTTTTGCTTCTTTAACTTGAAGCTCAAGTGGGCATGTAGCAGAATTTTTTATTTTGATGCGTTGAAATGCGAAAACAGGGGAATCGCATGAAACGAGCTTGCTAGGGATTAGCTTCAAAGGATTAGTGATGTTTCAGAGTTGAACCTTCTTGATTTTTGTGCATTTTAAGGGGCATGTACAATGGAAGCTTGGAGGTGGTTGGGTTAATTTGGTGATCAAAAGGTTATGTCGTTTGGTAGGATTTATCCATGAATTTAGCTTAAATCGAGCCAAACATAAAATATATCAAAATTAAATCCATGCTCTGTCAAACTGGAAAAGTTTCGCGTTCCAACGTTTCTTCCCGCATTCCGTCTGTTTTAGTACGTAAATCCGGTTTAGTAAATGGGACTCTGAGACAGATTTAAGGCTTCCTTGCTCCCGTCGCTTGAGACTTCGTTCCCGTGGAAGTGAAGATCGGATTTACAGGATTTAATAAATCCTATTTAACATAAGTTCAGTCTGCAGCCAAACACCGCCTTAGTTGCTGGTGATTGTGGCGATATTGACAAAAGAATTCCTGTGAAAGAACCAAAGATTTGAAGTGAGTTCATGCGGTCCTCTGGTTAGACTTTGGAGGAAAATTAGATGGTGTTATTAGTGAAGACAGGTTCTATTTGTTGGTGAGATGATGGCTTGTGTTGTTTGGAGAAGATAGCTTCTCGTGAAGGAGAAGAGGATGACTCCAGCTTTCTTAAAAAAATATCCCTTTCAAAAGGTGGAAGTTGTTGAAGTTTTTTATAACTTGGGGTCTTATTTTCTCATTTTTTTATGAGTATTTATATTTGGTTTTCCCTTAGGCTATTGAATGTTGCATCCCCTTAGGTTAAATATTATAATCTAGAAGGTTTTGAAGATACTGTAGTACGATTCCCCACCCAAACATTGAATCTGATTTTAGAGCTTCAAGGATCAGCTTGGATAATCAGATTCTATCGCCTGGGATTAATGCAATACTCTGGTTAGTTTTCAAAAGAGGATGAGCTTGTTCACCCTTTTAGGAGACCAATCTTAAGAAAATCAACTTTTTAAATTTTCTATACGATATGCTTAGGGTAGGGAATCTTACTTAAAGTAGGAATTAACAATGATCTACCAATCATCGTTCCATTCAACCAATAAGTTAGTTGCATGTACCAAATTGTTTCTTTAAAATCCACAAGATTTGGATGGTTGGGATAAACTCATTCAATAGACAGTCATTCAAAAGGAGTACAACATATTATCCCCAGACCGATGGGAAGACGGATGTGGTCAATACAAGTGTGGAGACATACATGTATTGTTTTGTATTTGATACACCTAAGTTATGGGCCAAGTGGATTGCATGAACCCAATATCAATATAATATTGTGTGTCATACCGCAACACAGGCAAACCATTTCAAGATTGTATGGGCGGGATCCAACGTTGCACCGATATCCAACTTTGATCAATACTTGGAGGAGAGGGACATGATGCTAGCAGAGCTCAAGGGGTATATTCTGAGGGCTTAACAAATCATGAAGAAGAAAACGGATGAACACATGAGAGGTGCAATTCGAATTAGGGGATATGGTCTACTTGAAGTTGAGGCTGTCAGGAGCAGGAGCAAAAAACTTTCATCGAGATAATTCGGGTTTTATGAGGTGTTGACATGCATCGGGGCAGTGGCCTACCATTTGATGTTACCACCATCATCCACACTACACCTTATCTTTCATGTATGACAACTGAGACGTGCGATTGGAGATCATACAACCTCATCTATACTACCGCTGACGCTGACGGAAGGAGTTCATTGGGGAGTCGGGGGCGCAGAGGATATATTGGTTAAGTGAAAATTACTGCCGAACAATGACGTAACATGAGAGCCTTACGAGGTGATTCAAAAGTAGTTGTCATCATTCTACCTTGAGGAAAATATACTTCTTTGGGATGGGAGTAGTGTTATGCCGCTCACGGGACCGACGTATGCTTCCCCACCGGCTTGCCGACCGTCAAGTGGGTCGATTCTGCGCAAACGAAGAGGCTGGGCGACACTCTGCTGCAGGAGAAGAAGCCAGGGAAAGACTGTGGTTCACTCGGGCAATAATCACATATTCAAGAAGGAGAAATTGAAGTTTTGAAGGAAAGTTTTCAAATACTTTGGGAAGATTCTATTAAGGGGGGGGGACCTAGGGTTTGTTGTTTTATATGTATTATTTTGTGGCTATTGTGTTTTTATTGTTTTTCTGTTGCTTTTAACGACGTAAATGGTGGGAGAGCCGATTTACCTCTCGAAAGTAGATTATCTTTTGTATTGTGCTTGTTTTTTCTTTGATTGCTGTAACAGTAGCCTTTATTTGTGCCTTTCCATCTATTTATTGTGATTTCTTCGTGGTTTGTTTGCTGATTTTAGTGTTGAGGCGTACCAATATTGTTCATCTCTTGGCCAGAAGAATACTGATAATAAAAAATTAGGCGGAGCTCCTTAATAGAAGGTTGTAGATGGGCATAAAAAATAGAGTCTATAACTTTATCCCCTACCCAAGGTCAACCATGAGAACTTGTTTGACATCGAGTTTATTCCCTTGCTCATAGTGAACTTGAAGACACTACTGTTGCTGATGGTGATGAGGTTGACTTGACCTGCAATTACTTGTATTTTTAATCTCCAAAATATTATAAAAAACTTGACTCAATTATATTCAGCGGTTAGTGTGAATAAATATAATGATATGAAAAATATATAATAAACTTCACACTAGAGGTACTACGTAAGTATACGTATTGTTTCAAGTAATATAAGATTTTTTTTAAAAACCCAATATCGATCCCACGAGAATAATTGAATTGTTTAAATTGACGTGCTAAACTCAAATGCAACTTTTATCTAAATTGCAGATTTAAATGAAATTGAAATGATAGCAATTGTTAAGGTTAAATTAAAGAAGATATAAACAACTATAATTAACAGTTTAATAAAAGTAATTCTAATGAGTTTGAATACTATGTAAAGATTTTCCCTTGCAATTAGAGATTAATCTATGTAGGATTTGAATGAGTAAAAATGTGATGATGTATTGTGACAAATAGTAGCATTCATATTCTTTACCTCCTCCCAAACTTAGCAAAGAAAATTGGTTAATTTAGAGTTTTTCATCAACTTGTGTAGTAGTGATGAGTAGATTCTGACTTCTCACATTCTGATTACCCACTATACACTCTCTATAGGATCTACTAGAGACCCTTACTATCCAAAATCTAAACCAAATTTAAAAAAGAATCTAGCCTGTCACTCTAGAAACATCAATTCTACACTCATCAGAATGAAGTGTGACACTCACTAGTTGTGTGAAATCATAGCCCTCTTGGGTCTTTATGTTTTTCAACGGATTTTAATCTCACAAGTGACCAATTTGTAAAGTCAATGGAGAATCGGTGAAAATATCATCACAATGTTTAAAAGTAAAAAAGAAATGTTTATATCATTCTCTTCCCACAAAATTAATTTCCAAGACCAAGAAGAAGGAAAGAGAACTACTCAGAATTCATGGAGAATAAAACAAAAATACCAAAATTGTATTGAAATCCAAGTCTTAGTAACAAAAATTTAAATACAAATACAAAATATCTTATGTCTTCTTCCCAACATAAATTATGGAGTCACCTTGAATAAATCTCCAAACTCTTACTATTACAATACAAAACACACTAAAACATACACTTAAACACTAAAGCGGGACTTCAAATGCTGTCAAAAAGTCATCTATTTCATCCAATTTTCATCTATATTAATAGATCTATGAAAATAACCAAGGGTTGCTTCAAACGCCCCTTCAAAATTCGGCTAAATTCAATGAATCTTCTAGAAGGGAAGTTACTGGCGCTGTAACGCCCGTTTCCCGCTTTTATGGTGCTATAGCGCTAGAGGACAACGCTATGGCGTCATACCATTTTGCACCATTTTTGTTATTTTTTCCTCATTTTCTCCAAATATTCATTCCATATACCTGAAACAAAAAACATACAAAATACATTTCTGTAAAGTACAATATCACTAAAAATATGCATAAAACATACATAAAATATGCACTAAAAACAAATAATTTTAAAGTGGATTAAAGATCTGATGAGTTTGAGTTTTTCTTATATATATAAGGGTACTTTCCGAGTATACTTCCTTGCTTCAATAACTATGTGTTGTTATTCGTGGTATAGTTGAGTCATCTTGTATCTAGTTTTTACCTTATAATGATCATTTTTCGTCTTAATGAATAATCTCTAGTTTTCATCATAAAATTTATGGATAGTTTGCAGAGAAATAACTCCTAGTTTGTTTTTAAATTCTTAGGACAATTTTTTTTTTTTTTTATGAGTAGGGACGTTTGTTAAGTCCCGTTTCATTTACACGAGAGAGGAATTAAAGAGTTGAGCGCCCGAGAGAATTGAAGCAAGCGGGAAGCCGAATTGGGAGGAGGTGAAGCAAGGAGTTGGGAAGCCGAAGGGGGTGGAGATAAATTTAAAGGGTCAGGAAGCTGAATGTATATTTATTTTCGTGTATAAATACATGCGTAGGGAGGGACAATAGATATGAGTTTTACTTACCTGAGAATCGAACGACAGGTTGAAGCGTCGGTTTCAAGCAGAGGAGGAGACATCGAGCAGCTCTCGTGATGCAGGAGCGCAAAGGAAGTGAGCGCGGAGGAAGAGGAAGACAAAAGAGGAGTTTCCTTTCATGTGTAAGGGCATCGATTCTGTCCTAGCCAACCATTGAAGAAGAATAGAAGAAGAAGAATCATATAATGCAGAGGAGGAAGAGGCGATTTGTTGAATACGTGCATTCATGTTGAAGGGAGCCGAAGTCAATCTCTCATGTGATCCATATCTCGTGTGTAGAGGGATCTTCTCACATGGAATTGAGGCTCGACCGAGGAAGGTAAGCCTTATTATGTTTATTTAATTGATGTAATAATAAAAATTATTATAATCACACACACACACACACACACACACACACACACACACACATGTTGAATAGAAAAATAAGCATGATTATATAAAGTAAAATCTAGAAATTTAATAGATAAATAACATAAATTTATTAGCTAATTAAAATAATAATCTATTTAAAATTTTGTAATATAAATACCATGTTTATATTATGTTTTTAATTTAGAAGAGTCGGCATCAAAACAAATCAAATAACAATTTAGTTGATATCGAGGGAGTACTCGTACTTTTAATCTATAACAATATTTTGATTTTTCTCAACTATTATGCATTAATAGTTAATGATACTTGTACAAATATTATTTGATTTATATAATATATACTTTTATGTTATATATATATATATTTATTTATTGGTTACATTGTTATGAATGTTTGTAGCTAGTTAATATCATGCATTGGTAAATGCTATATATAATATATTTAACTGAATGCGATGAGCACATAAATGATATATTTATGTTGACTGTTTGTAAGGACGTGATTGACTATGATGAGGTTATTCTTTTATGATACAAGTGGAAAAATGCTAAGGTATCTGTGTATGTAAATGTAAAAAAGATAATGATATTGAAGTACTTTAATTGTTATAATTTTTAGACAGTACTCTTGTGACGATTGTACAGATAAAAAATAATATAAATTGCTATTGATATAATAAAATACATTGATAATATTTAAGTAATCATATGTTTTATTATGATTTACCAAAGACTTAATTATCATGTATATTATTTTATTTTATTTTTCTATTTCTATTGTTTAACAGTATGAATATTCACTAGTTTTGTTTAACTTTATGTTATTTTAAAGTAATTTTTTAGGTTAAATTAATTGATTAAAAGATGAACTATATAAGAAAAAAATGTTTATAGAAGGTGCAACAGTAAGTAACGAGCTAAATTAATTATACTTATGGGATGTCAATTCAGGTTAGCGGGCCGGCTTTGGGTCTGACCCGAATAGGGTCAACCTGAACCCGGCTCAAATAATAAACTGATCGAAAACTAAGACCCAAACCGAAATTTAACCCGCTAAACCAAACTCACCTTGAAATTTTGTGCTTAATCTGGTCGTGTTTCGATTTTTCAGGTTCAAACTGAACCCATTCAGAATAATAAACGAGTCGAATTCTCTTAACCGAACCCGACTCAAAAAATATTCAGGCCTACCCTACTCGAACTCGACTCAAAAAATAACAGTGGATAAGCTCAAAAAACAGTGGAATGGGAATGAGAGGGAAACTAAGTAAAAAATAGTGAATGAGCTTGCGGTCGCCGTTCCATCACAAGTGCCAGGGCAGAGTTGGGCCGCCATCATGCGCCGTCGTAACAGTGCCCTCTATATATAATATTACTGTTTGAGAGCCGTAAATGTAATATCAGAGGTTTTAAGGACCGCAACATGTAAAAACGCCTCTATTTTATGTTAGATATTTGCACCAAAATTTTAAATTAGTAGGATATTTCGAAACAAGATTGAAAATGCATTGTGGATAGTTGCAAGGACAACTTTAATTCATCGTTCCATAATCATGAAGTAGGATTTGAAAAAAAAATAATTTAGATGTTGCAGTATTCCAATGGTTGAATGAATAACTTCTGCATTGTGGATAGTTTCAAGGACAACTTTAATTTATCGTTCCATAATCATGAAGTAGGATTTGAAAAAAAATAATTTAGATGTTGCAGTATTCCAATGGTTGAATGAAAAACTTTTTAGCGAGCGGTCAAGCTTATATTCTAACCATACCACCGTGACACTTTGCTCAACAAGAGGTGAATATTTTGATGTTTTTATTATTGATGCTAGAGAGTTGCCAATTCTTTTGATGCCTGTGAGCATTAGAGCTTTGATGATAACAAGAATGTTAGAAAAAAAAAGGAGAAGGCCATCAAATTGGATAAGAAGCTATTACTAAGAGTTGTGATGTTATTGGAAAAACTATACAAGAAATGAGAGCTTATATTGGTGTGAAATATGCTGATAAAACTGCAAAGTCAATTCTCTGCAATGGATACAATATATTATGTATTTAGAGTTCAAATAATGTAGCTGTAGGGGATGAAAGTCGATTGAATTTTCTTATGTACATGTTTGTGAGTACATATAAATATAGCTGACTACAAGGACTCCATTGATTGTTGGTACTTTATTAAATGTTATAGTATGAATATTACATCGTTTCTGCAAATGGCCCTAAAAGTTGGCCTAAGAGTAATAGGATTTCAATTTTGTCACTTAAGATATAATGAACTTAGAAGGGGTAGGCCAACGAAGATGTAAAGAAGAGCTCCTGATAAATAACCCTAAATTATCTATGAAAAAAGTTCAGTAGAGACATTTTCATACTTCATTATAATAAACATAAATAGAGTGCATATAATATCAACACTTGTGGTAATAAAATACATGAGAATATGAAGATTCTTATAGATGAGCCTCATATAGTTGGCCAATAACTTGAATGTCATCAAGTACTACGAACATTTTTGTCTCTTGGCGTACATGATTCAACTGTCAGGATTGAAATTATGAGTTTTATAATTAAAAGGATCTCCAAAATTTTATTTAATGTGGATAAAATTTATATTTACTTCCTCATTCTGTTTTTTTCAGGATCATTTGCAAGATTATAATAATCTTTAAATGGAGAGTCAATCATAATATGATATGATGTTGCAATTGGGTACATAAAGATCTTTATTTAAAAAGCTAATTGTAAGTTCATATAATTTTTTTCTCTAAGGTTTACTTTGGATTTTCTTGTGGAAATCTGATTAGAGTTTCTTATTTGTACATGTATATTAGTCTAACTCTAAAAAAAAAAAAAAACCCCCAATTTGAATGAATTGTTTTGGATGAACCTTTTTTTTTGTTTTGTTGCTTTGGACGGTAATATGCAACTGATATTTTTTTTTTTTGTTTTTTTGGTAATGACATGAATATCATAATGTTAACTATCCCTTTTATGTATTCGATCTACATAATTGGTATCAAGTGTTTGAATGAAGTTTTTTTTTTCATGTTTATTCTTGTATTACTTTGTCTTTTTTTTTCTTTAGAAATGTAAATCATGGACTTATTTCGATCTACAGAATTTGTTCGAAATGATCAATCAACTCTTTTAACTAATTTTGACTTCTATTGATTTTGTAAATGAAGAGCATTTTAAGTTGATGGGTTTTGAGACCCACCAAATAAGTAGCAGTTTTATTATTATTATTATTATGGAATTTCCATTACTAATCCACATAGGGCCCGCAATCTTACCTTTAGAACTAATGATGAAGGACTTCATCATGCTGAGTCATTTAATTGAACTACAGTAGCATTTGAGCCAGTAACTAACAAAAAAAAGGGAAAAAAAAGGTTGAACTGGGAGTTTTCCATGACCCAAATAACCTCATTGTCAGAATTTGACCAGCTTTTGCAAGTATATTCCAATGGCAAACTCGCCCTTTTAAATTTTTTTATGTTGATTTAGTAATGAAGGGTCTTTAAGGTATTGCAGCAAAATCTGTAGAAATAAAAGAAAAATCCTAATTTTTTTTTTTTTTTTTTGGTTTTGGATATGAGGACTTCTGTGGAAGAAAATAGCAATTTTATTTTTCTCTGTTTTTTTTTCCCTTATGATATATTTAGTTTTTTTTTTATGCTTGAATTGATTTGATTGACCTGATATATCTACCTGTCAAGTGGTCTAACTTTTGTAAATATGTACATAGATTCTATAGGCTTAATCAATGAAAGTTGGACATTCTGCTTCATGCAGGCTGGTGATCCATTTTATGTCCTTTTGTGCTGTTGGTTGGCTGCTGTTGGTGCTGGTCGGAAGAGATCTTGGAGGGGGTTACTAGACTTCGCATTTCCAATGATATTGAATTTGAAGAAGAAACTTTTCTTGCTACTATGAAAGCTGCTAAAGAGGTAGTGTGATAAATACTTTTTTTTTTAATTTACTTTTGTGAACTGTAAATTACATTAATCTAGATGATTTCTGTCATGATTTTTTTTTATAATTCAATCATATTTTTATCTTGACTTTTTGCATTTAGATATATTTAGATAGCTTGAAAGTTTAAACACTCTCAAACTGATGCCCCCTTTTAATCATTATTCATTGGTTAACCTTTGTGGCATGGTATTTGAGAGAGAATTTAGAGAATAAAAGGAAGAAGTGAGGGAAAGGCCTTTTGTCCATGTAATTTTTTATTCATTTATGTATGGTTTGCAAGTGATCTAAAAATCTCCTAACTGGATTTTTTTTGCATCCTTTTGTGTCTGCCATGTTTTATGGTTTTTAAGGTCAATATTACATCATTGGTTATGATATATAATGTAAAACATTTATTTGGACCAACTTTTATAAATTTTCATAACAATTTAACCCTTCATTAATGATGTAGGAGTGTTTCGCAAAAGCCACGGGAAAGTAAATCCCGCGATCCCACTTGTGCAAATTCCACAATACCGTAAAATTTTCAGCTTTTTGGGATTTTTTCGTGATTCCACAGCCTCTATCTGTTGTGGTCGCAAGCAAATCTATTGAACAATATTTTTTTATTTTCAGAGAGCTTCCTTGTTTTTACCTTTTCTAGTTCTTTCTTATTTCTCTATTTTTTAATTAGGTTATTTTCTAGTAGAAGACTTTAATATATTTTGTATTTGACTATTTTGAGACATCAGCTATTGTGTTTGTGTTTTGGATACTTCGTTCTCTATTGTATGTTCTCCGAAGTGTTGTATGATCTTCATTTTGTATGTAGTATGTATGTATCTTGCTCAGGAATAAGTCGTGGAACCTCTTTATCACCCGTACTTTGTTATTTCACCATTCGACTATTATTTTTAGTCTAGATAGCAGCCAAACTCCTCCAATTTGTTGTCCAACATCAGATTTCACAGTTTATCTCACTTCCAAACAATGCTTCCTTTCCCTATCCTCTTTATTGTACCATTATGTGAGAAAAGTCCTTCAACTGTAATAATGGCTTGCCGTCTTTGAGAGAAAAATAACCCGAAGAGGTTACTCATAGTCACAACGATGAATTGCCAAATCGAGAAGAGGAAGTGAATCCCTTCTACCAAGAAACTTTGAGTGACGAATAACTAACACCCCATCAATTTGACATTGAATATCAAAGTAGAAATCAAGACTTTTGAGTAAAAGTGGAGTTACTGGATCTTGATTATCACATGGATCCGGACGAGTTCATTGAGCAGCTATAGACAATGGAATGAGCCTTTCAGTACAAGGATGTTTTACCTAACATAAGGGTAAAACTAGCCACAATTAAGTTAAAGAAGAGTGTGTCTTTTTGATTAGACAATTGGAAGCATTTACGCAAGTGTAAGGGAAAAAGAAAAATCACAATCTAGTCCAAAGATGAAAAGAGAGATGCAACAAAAGTTTCTACCAACATATTATAAATATGAAATTTTTGAGACTTAGTTACTTGTAGCAGCAAGATCTCTTAGTAGAGGAGTACATCGTTGAGTTCGAGCAACATATGTTGAAGTGTGAGCTAGTGGAGCCTGATAAAACATTCATAGCTCGATATCTGGTAAGATTGAGACTATTTTTCGGCAATGTGGTACAATTACAACTCTATTGGACGTTATAGGATGTCTAAACCTTAGCCCTGAAGGTGGAGAGATAATATAACAATATCAAGCCGACACCACCCTTCAAACAAGGTTTAACCATCAGATCGGGCAACAAGACTGCAAGAGTACACCCACCCATTGGAGCAACCAAGCCAACCCCTTCCAAGAAAAAATCAGTCGAGAGTAGAGAAAAAGTGGAGGCCACTAGAACTCATAAATTCATCCTAGCCATAAAATACTTCAAGTGGTATATTTTTGGGCACATTGCGTTCAATTGTCTAAACTGGAGAATCTCTTTATTGAGTAATGAGTTGTTGAAGAAATAGGCAATGGCACATGAGGGAAAGAAGTTATCAAAGATTATCAACTTCCAGCCAACAAGAGAGAGATGCTAGTGATTCAAGTTGAGGCCATGCGAGAGACTCCAACATAACTAATATTGATAGTCCTAGAACGTAGTGAATATGAGGTGCTGATATCAGAAAAGGGGCAGCCTGCGCTGAAGGAGTTGTTAGATAACTTGATTGGCAATTTACGTTTTCGGTGGTTGTCACTAAGAGGGGTTGAGCATGTCATCACTTTAGATAGAAAGGAAAATTTTTTGAGCTATTCTCGGGATGCCCTATTTCATAGGTTGGGTGCCAAGTTCCACTTCAATTTAGCACTGCACTCACGAAACAATGGCTTAGCAGGAGTGGTGAGCATAGATTTGGAAATCTCGTTGGGCGTATTGTGAAAAGTTCATTCGACAGCGGTATCCAGATCCTTTCAGAGAAGAAAAGAAGTCTCTTCTAGCCAGTGTGAATGACCCAGGAGCATTTCGCAAGAGTCATGGGATCGTAAATTCTAATCGTGGGAACGCCACGATACCATGATGCAGGACACAATATTTTTTACTGTTCAAGATTTTTCCTCGATTTCTTGGCTTATAGCTCTCGCGGTCATCGGAGTATTTATTGGCCCGTTACTTTTTTATTTTTGTTTTTATTTTCATCAAGTTTCCTTTTTTTATTTTGTGGTTCTTTTTTATTTTTTATTTCTAATTAGGTTAGTTTCTAATATTATTTTGACTTTTTGTGACATTAACTATTATATTTGTGTTTTCGAGACTTTTTTTCTCTATTTTATGCTCTCGAAAGTGTTGTATTGTCTTCGTTACAAGTACTATGTCTGTGTATTTATCACAAACAGGTGGTTGAACCTCTCTGTTTCTCTGTTCGATAGTTGTTTTCATTGTTGATAGAAAACAAACTTCTTCAATCTATTGTCAAACCACAGATTTCACTAGACATCTCCTTTCAAATGCCGCCAACCACCGCTATCCTCATACCATTCCATAACTATCTTCCCACGAAACTCGCTTCTTAAACACTTTCAAGGATTCCTAGAATGGTGTCAATTAATAAAATAACAAAATAACGATGAGTATATGTCATACAAGACACTTAGGGTCCGTTTGGGGCAGCGGTGTGACACCGCACCGCAATTTTGTCTATTTGGGTGAACTGCGTCTTGACAGTTTTTTCAAAATATGGCAGCTTTTTCAAAAAAAAAATGCTTTCGAAATCTACATTTTCCTACTAGTTCTGGCTAGGTGTGTTGACAACTTTCTAGCGTAGTCTGACCTTTTAAAAAAAATTTTGTGATTGCCACCGCAGTTTTTTGTACATCAGTTTATTCTTCAGCAGCTTCATAATTACTTTTTGATAAGCTTCAGCTGTTCCAAACAGACTTCAAGTCTGGTTCTACATTTGTATTTCACCATTGAAAACTATTATACTGTCACTGTCATCAATAGTCTGTATATTTAACTTGGGGTTTTTTAAATTCTTGACTTTTTAATCATAGTTATATTTTCATGTACTCAGAGTCATCCATCAAAAAAACTTTGATGCATATGATGAATAATCAAATGTGGGTTATTGTTCTTAAAATTGTGCTTGCCACTAATTTGAGTAAATGGGCAATCTTAATTTTATATTTAAAGGTCAAGTTGGGCTAGTCATAGTAAACCCAAGCTCGGCTCTCCTGCCTAATGGTAAGCTTGAAATTAAACTCGAACCATACTTTCTAGAGTAAGAACTAGCTCAAGCTAGATTCTCTTTGTGAGACCGAGGAACGAAAGCAAAAAAATTGGTATGAGAAGTTGGAAATGGCTCAAGGTGACGATCAATGCTCAAAATCACGAGAATGGCTAGTTGGAGAATGCATTGATGAGATCATCAAAGGTTGGGGAAGTTTGTGATTGTTCACTATAGAAGGTGTTGATGAGACTTGCAGTGATTGCGGAAGTCACTACGGGAGAGTATTGTACATGGTATTGATGGAACAGGCGGGTATTGAAGGAGTTCTTGAAACTTGCGATAGTCGCTAAGTTGAACCGCAAAGAAGATTTCTTGAATTAGTGGACCTAGCTCGTTGGCTTACTAAGTCTCGTCAAGCTTGAACTCGACTTTGTTTAATATAAATCCTTTAATTTGAGCTCGAGCTTATAGCTTGATAGGCTCGACACATGATCTCATTACCTGGTCATGTTTAAGGCTTACTTAAAACCCTAATCTAAATGGTAAAAAGTCACCATCCTCCTCGCACACATGTTCGCACACACGCTTGTACATGCACCCTCACGCACATACACTTGTGCACATGCATACACACACGCACTTGCGCGTGAATACACACAAGTGCAAAAATCAAGGCCAAAAGAATGTGCACAGTTACAAAATGCATGAACAATGCTGAACAAGAGATAGTATGTGAAAGAGACGCTCATAAACTCACAATAAGTTCACTCAATTGTTTAGTGAACTAAGGAAGTCAACAAGCAAACAATGTATAGTTCAGATCCTTAGAATTGTCAATTATAGAAGATATTCAAATTTTACTATAAGGATGTAATACCGTAGTAATATAATTCAAACCCAAGAAAGGAGTAAAAAAAATATAGGCAACTATTTTCACAAATACTAAAGCGTTGGAAAAAAAATAGAATTACAAGGACAGTTCTTTGAAACAAGTATTAAGCAAGCAAAACAAGATCACAGATTTTTAATGGTGCGTCTAGAGAATCTCGTTGTAAGTAGTGGCTTAAAGTGCAAAAGACATTGTAGATCATGGGGATGCAGATTGGGATGTGGAGGCTAAGGTATGGATATAGTGGAGATATTTGGTAATGTTATGGCTACCCACAATGGAGTGAAATCTCGTATCAATTAGTTAGAATTAGAAAATGTGATCAACATACAAGTTGTGCAGCATGAAATCAGTTAACTAGACCCACTAAAATTATCCAAGCTTGAGTCAGAATGTTAAAGATATGGACAAAATGATATAAGTTTGGATTGGAAAGGAGAAGTGGGCAGCAATTTGGAAGGAAGATTTAGGAGAATAATTAATTTTACTCAACATACAATTTTAATTCTTAAAATCCAGCCCCATCTTTTTCTCTTCCACTCACAGGACTTGATGGCTGGCATTTGAAATGGCTGCATTCATTTTCTTCATCCATATTTTTATGGGTTCCTATAAAGTACCATTTGAAGTTTTTCTTCATTTAAGAATCTCCATGCTTATTCATGTAATTAGAGAGATTTTTGTTAGGAATTCAGCATAAGCACCTATAGAAACCATGTCTCTTTAGATCAATAACACCATTCTAGGATTTCTAGAAGGTGTTTAGGAAAATCGGGTTCCTAAACACCTTCTAGGAGCCCTAGAACGGCGTTAATCAAATTCTTCTTGCAATTCTCAATCTAGGACACAATAAACAAACTTTTTGTGCATAGAACAACCTACAATCCAAAATACATTTAAAATGACATACATATAAAAGCCAACTATTAAAAAATATTATTAGAGCAATGTTCATTGCTATTTTTTCTCGTCACCCATCATCAGATGCATCAATTATCTTTCTTTTAGGATCTTAATCCAACCATTTGGACCTTTGCTTCAACTCCTTATAGTCTCTGCAGTTTTTAGTTGATTCTATTTATTCTTTAATTGTGTTTTATCATAATCTAGTCTTGTTGAAGTCTTATTAAATTTTGACAATCCTCTTTTTTGTCAAAATGGGTTTACAGTTGGTTTCCTAACTCAATTTTTCTCAATTTTAAATCACAATTTGATATTAACATCTCACTCCATGTGGGATGTGCTCCCCATCCTTTGATTTTCCCATGCAAGTATCTACTTGTACCATATATGCAAGATCAATTTTGAATAATAATAGAATCTACACAAATATATAACTATACAACAATCGGTTCTATGAGTGAATTAAATTCATCATGAAAGACAATGTCATTGATACTCAATTTAGAGTTCCAAAATAACAGGTATTTTTACATTCAAAATAATCGCACTCTTCTTCATGCAATATGAATGACAGGAAATCCTAGTAGTTCTAAGAATCATAAATAACTGGCAAAAAAAAGTTAAACCGTTTTGTTAGCTTATCCCTCTTAAGTAGGGTTGTAAATGAACATTTTTTAAAAGCTCATTGCTTGAATAAACTCAATTTGAATATAGTTCAACTCGTTTAATAATGTTCGTCAATAAGCTCATTTGTTATTTAATAAGTAACTTGTTAAATATTTTATTTCTATATAATATATTATTTAAATAAAAGTTAATCAACTATAACTTTTTTAATAATATATTTAATAATAACATATTATAATTCAATATCAATATGCACATAAATTTAATGTATTTTTTTTTATTTTGATGAATTAGTTTGTCGGCATTTATTTATATTATTTAATTACAAGAATTATTTATAATTTAATAGCTAGTTAGATGTTAATTTTAAAATCTATTCAATTACTTATTTAAATTTGTAAAATCATTTGTTAATAATTTTATATAAAAATCAAGTACTTATTCAAAATTTTAACTTCTTTACTAGTTTTATATGTAAAATCAAGTACAAATCAAACTCTTAATTTTATATGACAATTCAAGTACGTATTTGAATTTTTGGTTTTTCAATTTTAATAAACAAGCCAAATAAAAATCAAATATGAATATTGAAAATTTTAAGCAAGTCAAGTATAAACATATATGTGAAAGCTCATCTAAAGCTTGAACTGAAAATGAACAACTTATGATTCCACCAAGCCGAGTTTAAACCATGACATAGTGGGCTCTATTAACCCTACTCTCAATCACCTGCAGCTAAATAGTTACATGTCCCAAAAGATGCAATGCATGTGCGCCTTCATTGCGCTCAGCATGTCCTTCGCTGCTCTGAAACCCTACTTGCGATGCTCAATAGATACTGAGAAGGGTTAGGGCATCAAGCTTTATAGAAATAATATAAATAATGCAATTGGTGATGATCCTTTTGTCCATTCAAAAACTCCGGTGAAAGCATTGTGCCCAAACTTATCCTAAGCCGCAATTCATGAAGTGGTAAAAAAGGCTGTTCGAATGGATCCTTAGAAAAACAATTCATTCATCAATAATTGCATTTGCACTCTCTAGTCTTTTTAACAAATGCAAAGTTGAAAATGAAACAGGACCCACTCAGAGCTTTTATTTGGTGGTTCAACTCAGTTGCCTTCCGTTTTGTGCTCAACTTGAACCCTTCTTGAAGTCTATTAGATCCATCATTCTTCACCTATTCAACAGCCGTCACCGATTGGAAAGAAATTTGCATCCTTTTCAAATCGGTGTGGAGTTGCTGGGTGACTGGTACTGCATTCAAAAATTTTCATGAGATGTTATATTGGGCCTTTATTAATGCTTTAGGTCATAAATAACTAATGAAGATTTGCATACATATACCACTCAATTTCTATGTGTTTACATATATAACACCTAAAGTTCATTTTTTTACATGCATGCCACCTTATCTATGAATGAAAAGGTGTTTCTGACCTTTTAAAAGTTTAAATGGTGATATGTTTTATGAAAGATTTGGGTGGCATTAATGTAATAAAAAAGTTAACTTTAAGTGTTAGATATGTAAATCCATAGCTAGCTTACTCGGCTTGCATCACCAATAATTCCAATTTTCACAACATTTACCTGCAGAAACGGGCTAAGCTCAAGGCTTCTATCCCAGCAATTCCGATCGAGATTCGAGTCGAAAAGGCTTTCGAAGCCATCTATGTCTGTTGTTTCGGCAAAGATCCCATCGAAGAAGAGGATGTTCGGCTGCTCTGCATCATGCTTAATGCAGTTTTCCCTTCTGTGGGGACATCAGTGATAGAAAGATTGGTAAATTCGGTGGCAAATGAAATAGCTGAGGGCAACAGAGCTTATTTTTCAGAGCTGAAGCCATTACCCAAAGAGGCTGTGGAGCGCCAAATGAAGGATCTCGAGTTTCTCAGGCAGAGAAGTGAGGAATCCAGTTGACACCATTGTTGTACAGTCTTCATCTGTTCATTATTTTACTGTATTATGCGCTAGAAAGAGGAAATAGAATATTCATTTTCAGTTTTGCTGATATATATATATATATATATAATTTAATTTTTTAGTTTTGCTGAAATGTTTGCATTGAAGATGGATGAGTTATTCTAAGGTGGCCCAAATCTTTCTAATTTGATAATTTGCTCTTGGTGGTTTTTTATCTTATTGATGCTCGTTGGGTAAATTCTTGCTTGTGAGACAGCAAGGAATAGCCTGTTTGGAATCATTTTTTTATAGATTTATTTTTTTATTTTTTATTTATCTTTAAACATATTTCTTGTGGCATTTAAATACTTCCGACCTAATTTTGATGTATTTACCTATGAACTACCCGAACTTCAATTTTTACATACAGACCACGCGATAGGTTGTGGTTTTGTAGGTAAAAAATGAAGTTTTGGTGGTTGATATGTTAATAAATAGGAATTGGGTTATAGCTATGTAAATCTCTCATTTTTGTTTAGTATATTTTTATATTAATTTTTTAAAAAAATTAACTAATTTTTTTTAAAAAAAATTTAGATGTTTTAGTATTTAATATAACTAGTACCAAACCTGTATTTTAAATCAAAATATTATTAAAATAAAATTAAAAAAATGAAAATAATCTCAAATAGCCACGTAGGGATTGTGACCCATCAAATTACGATGTTGGGCGCATTGCTTTGTGAACTCTTGTACGGTTCTATTGCCCTCAATTTATGTCTCATTCTTTCTAATAGTTTTGTCAGATCTTATAGGTACATTTACGACCATACAATATTAAGGAACATAATTCCATTAGTCGATAGTACAGATTATGCAGACTTATAAGTGCAATGTTTATGAGAAGCCCTTTTTTAGGGATTAAGACGAACTCAGATTTTATATAGCGGTCTAGCAACACAAATTTGCTTATAGGATTTCCATAAAATTTGAACTTCTTCCTTGGTGAAACTCAACCACCAGTGATTTAGTGAACTTAATTTCGTATAAATCTGAAATACAGTTTCAGCATGCCCTTTTTAAGTGCTGCTAGAAATTCATTACAATATAGAAAAATCTACATAAATACCAAAACATTCTTATATATTTACATCTAGCATCCAAAACTTGATATTTACACATACGTATCCCTCTGGTGCCAAAAATATATTTGTAAATACATATTTTATTTTAAAAAAAGTTAGTGAGGGTATTTTTGTTATGGTATTAAAGATTTGAATACCATACAAATAAATATGAAAACTTAGTTGTTTAGATATGTTTAATATTATTATTAAATGCTATGAATGTAAATTTCTTTCAAATATGTAAGAACTTCGAGCAAACCAATGATCCTTTTTTAAGGTTATATAACGTATTAGGAAAGGCCACGAACAAACAACATAGTTCTTATGCATATACACACCAAACACCTATAATTTGTTATTTATATTTATGGCATTTTGACATCATACGCCAATACATGAAAATGTTTATTACCCTCTTAAAAGGTAAGTAAAAGTAAGATTTTTGATGTGATGTTAAAATTTTTAGTGCTATGCATCTAAATATCAAACTTAACCAATTAGATATGTAAATATATTAGAATTGTAATGTATGTATGTAAATACCCCAAAATAGCATCATAATCCAACAGTTTGAGGTCCACAATGTTGACTCCCTCAAAATATTTCATGTAAAAATGTGATAATTAGTTGGGATAAGTTTAAATACATTCAATTTATAGTGATATTTAAAAAAGAAAATCTAATTAATCTCAAAATAGAGTCCTTGATTTTGAAACCCATTCTTCATTAAAAAAAAAATATACTGAAAACAAAAACTTAAACGGTACGTAATGAAATGTCAAAGATATCAAAGATGAGTCAGCAGATTAATAAACATCCTCTTTAAAAAATCAGTCAATGGAGCAAACACCATAGTGTTACAATCAAGAAGGTATCAGCACATTACATGAACATTATATATATATATATCGCTGAATGAAAACTTGCAATTAGCTGATACGCCAAAGAGGATAAATTCTACTCTGGAAGTATCTGCTCGTTATCTGCGTCTCCTTCCTCCTCCACCTTAGGCTTGGAAGGAGTGGGGCCAGCACCTGGAGCCTGCTTTTTCTTGATCCCACTAACGATGTCATCAATTCTCAGCAGCATGCAAGCTGCCTCAATGGCAGTCTTAAATGTTTGCGCCTTCACATTGTAAGCGTCCCAGATCTGCACAGCAATCATTGGTTAAATTAGGGTTGCCAAAAATTGGCCCCACACGCCAACTCACCCTAAACATGACTCCGAAAATCCAGGTTCTAGTTGGCATGAATAATTTGTGGTTCAGGTTTAGAATACCTAGACTCTAAACCGTAACCATTTTAGTTACTTTGGTTGCTGTTGGGTCATGTTAACCTACAAACCTGAAATTGACTCAAAATCAACCTCTGAGATTGACTCGAAATCGACCCGAATTTAACACGAATAACTATTAACTCTTATGTTATACAAGTTATATGAGCCAGCTTCAGGTCAGCAATTTTAAATCATGTGAGACTCAAACCTGACCCGCAAACCCAATTTGATACCTCGAGGTTAAATAGAAAGCAGAACTAAGAACTGAGTTAAAAATGAAGAAAAAAAAGCTACCTTCCTCTCCTTCATGTCAACAATGGCACCACTATTCCCATCAATGCCAACCCATGCATTTTCACCATTTGCATGCTGGAAAAATGTAAAAAAAACAATTAAATAGCATCAAACTGTTAAAACATATTTCTAATAATCCCCCTACAAAAAAAATGTTCCATATTTTTAATCAGGCAACAGAAGATCTGATGAAATTTAAAACGTAGAGCTATTACCTTTCCTTGAAGTGCCGTCATTGTTCTAATCACATTAACGCCACAATTTTGCGCTAAGGTCCTTGGGATAGCCTCAAAAGCCACAGCAGCAGCTTCATAGGGCCACTGTTTAATTATTGAACAGATTAAACAAATTTAAAAAATAGTCAAAAGAAATTGCATTTAAGCAGAGTGAAATACAGCACCTTCTCAACGCCCTCAATTGATGAGCTCTTCTCCTTCAATGCCGCAGAAACAGTCATCTCGGTAGCCCCGCCTCCAGGAACAAGCTTGGGGTTTTTCAGAATGTTCCGTGCTACTGACATAGCATCCTATACATAAAAATGCCTCAATATAATGCACGTAAATAAGCAAAAGTAGGGAATTTACACACATTCTAACTAATTCTTGTATATTTACACATCCATAACTTAAAATACAGATGTTCATATACATATTTTGATAACATTTAAACTCTCGGGGCTTATAAAATTAAATGTAAAAATTTAAATGTTACATCTAAAAAAGAGGAAAATTTACATAAGTAGCACATAATTCTTATGTATTCACATATCTCACACCAAAACTTTCATATGTACATAAACATCATTTGGTTGCTTTAAAGCCTTGCACGAACAAGTGTATTTCAGTTTTAAAGATTTGAGTAGAACGTGCAAATATGAAAGTTTAGGAATGAGATATGTAAATACATATGAATTGAGTGCTATGTATGTAAATGCCACAAAAACATATATAGGAATTCAGCGGCTTGTGCGTAAATATCCCAAAAATATAGTACCTGCAAATTTCTTTCAACTTCATTCAGAAGATCCTTGCTAGCACCTCTCAACAGAACAGTGCATGCTTTCGGCTCCTTGCAATCAACAACAAATGCAAAGAATTCATCTCCAATCTTTCTGACTTCGAAAAGTCCAGCTCCGACACCGACATCAGATTCTTGAAGCTCATCAGGCCTGTTAACAATGACAGCACCAGAAGCTTTCGCAATCCTATTGTTGTCTGTCTTTCTCAGCCTACGGATAGCGCTAACTCCAGCCTTGCTTAAATAGTGGCAAGCAAGATCACTCAGCCCCTTTTCCGTTATAACCAAGTTGGGCTTGAATTTTAGAATCTGTGCGCAAAGATTCTGTATATATTCCTCTTCTAATTTCAGAAGAACCTCCCTGAAAATTAAGCATGCTCTCACTACTCCATATGAATTATATAAATATAAATATACATATATATATATATATATATAGATGGATGGATACTTTAACTAGCATATGACGGATATTTATAATGTTCATGATGGATATTTATGATGAATATGTTGAGGAATAAACAGAAGTCAGCATTTGAAGAAATGGAGAGAATTTAAATCTTACCAATCATCTTCCTTCACCAACTCAGCATTCGTTTGGTTCTCACCCTTCTTATATTCGAGCGGGCAGTCGAGCAGTATAATACGTGGGTTCACAATCCTCCGTTTCATTTTACCTGGAGCAACGACATCCTTATTGAACATGACGCCTTTGAGAACCTTTGAATCTTCCAACTGGCCACCAGGAACCTTCTCAACCTTTATATATTTCTTAATGTCGACCTCCCTCATACCTTGCCCAAGATCCACACCAACTGTTGTGGTAGCATCGATTGCAAGATCCTATCAGTGGCAAGATATTGAACAGTTAATATTTTCATACATATTAAAAAAAAATCCAAAAAAGCAGAACTATTAGTTCATTCCACATGTCTTCAAATCATGCTATTTTTAAAAAATAAGTAATTGAGATTCTTCGAAGCTAGTAAAAAACCATCAAAATGTTCCATTGTGCAACCACTTGTCGCAGCACAAGGAGTTCAGAAAAAATGTGCCAGATCTATTTGTTCCAAAATTAAAGAGACCATGCATATATACTACTTAAACTTAAACAAACAAACCCAATTTAAGACCATACTACAATTTAATAAACAAAATACAGACTCAGGTTGATGGTTTCCCATATGTTCGTACCGCATGTTACGTCACAATGAGTAGCCACATGCCAAGCCCAAAGAAAAACACCACAATATAGCCTAGTGAGGGCATAGGGTATCCAATGATACAGACAATTCAGAAGGGAAGATGCACCACTCGGTTATGATTCAGCACTCACTAGGCATCATGTCGTCTAGCCAGATCAAGCCAATTCTATAATTCAAGCTTCTTAAATTACTAAAAATGTACCTAAGATGGTTGTGGTAGGCAATTTCATCAGAATTCTCCAACCGAAATGATAGGTTGAGCTGTAATGCAAGTTATTTCTTTGCCAAGTCCTCAAAGAACTATTTTTTAACAAACTCAACAATTACGGTAAAAAAAAACTTCAATCACCCTAAATCGTCGAAGTCCAAAAATTTTTCAAAAAAATAAAAACACATTTTTTTAATTTTATTTTAAGCACAAATTTGATAGCTACTACATGCACTAACTGATTGATTGGTCACTCAGCATTGCAAATGTGTGTTTATTTTTTATCGGAAGTATCTCATCAAGCAATATTTTGCTTAGTTTATTTGATTTCATTGTTTTATTTTATTTTTTAGTCTGTAAATTGTATTGTTTATAATATGCTTGCCATATTAGCCTCTAAAAAGTAGTGTTAGAGAAAAGGAAAAGGATCTCAGAGAAATCAATTCTCCCATATCCTAGCCACCGACACCCTTACGATGTTCCTGCTATGCCTGCTGTAACCAAAATCTAAAAGAAATTAATTATCCTGTCATGTCCTTGCGCAGTTTTGACATTGGTTAAATCAGCCAACCATAACAAAAATTTGAAATGATATAAGCCATCATGTCGCCGCTTCATGCGATTAACAGCTGTACATGCATTCCTATTAAAGGAATGTTGCAGAATAGGAGGGCACATACTAAAATCAGAATTTGTAATTAAACTTTTCAATTGTATATTTCATTGCAATTATAACTAAACATGCTGTAGCATTATTTAGGAAGGATAAGCTTCTTCCACTTCTGTTTTTATGGTATCAGAAGCAAGAATTCAATCTTCTGCATCGTCTAAAAGAAAAAATGCTCTAATAATCACTCAAGAAAAGAGCGTGCCCTCCAACACCTCAGAAATTTCAACCCCATTTCTATTCCAGCTAAGAGCATTAAGAAAAACCCTCAATAATGATTCTCAGTCCAAATCATCAACATTAAACTAAATGGTGATAACTTTTCAGCATCAGTCTCAACGTACACTTCGAAAACTTGGATACCTAACTAGAAAAAAGAAGGCTCCAGCAAGTGGGAAAAAGATGTATACAACTGGGATTTTGAGAACTCCATGGTCATGACTTGGCAAGTAAATTTTATGGAAAAGATGTAAGTTCGAACTAATATAAGTGATATCCAAAATCAAAAGAACTATGAGATAATGTCATCCAGATGCACTCAGATTTAGGAAATCAGTCTCAAACATATGAATTGACAATTAAACTTAGTGAAATTCATCCAAAGTATTTCAATTCTCTGAAGAGATTACGGAAAGATTTGAATATATTCAATTTATTTGAGCGAACATCAATAAAGGACGGCAATCACAATGAAAAGGTGATAGAATATCTCCACATCGATAAATTTATGGTAGAATAGATTATTGAAATGGATGAATGCAGAGGGAGGATGAATGGCATGTAGCATATACCTTCCATTAGACAATTCTTTGTTGAGGTTAAAACTTAAAAGGTAAGAAAGCCACAAGAACTTTATACAAAGTAAGATCTGCAAGGTAAGAAGAGAGATATTGTAATTGTGGAAAACACAGGAATGATCGTCTTTGAAGCTGATGCAAATAAAATTTTTGAATTGCACTAAAATGAAAACAATGTTAACCTTGATAACCTCGATACAAGCTCCACGCTCGATGACATGGAACACGTTGCCAAAATAACTATTGATTGAGATGTCATATAAATTTGAGGGTGAAAGGACTCAATCATGCTTGAAACCGCCCAAATTATCATTTGATTGCAAGATGAACAATCTCGTTGCATCCGAAGCATAGAAATTAACCGAGAAAGCATGGTTAAGTCATCTCGACCACTGTCAAAGCAATATATGCAATTCAGACGTAAGTCATCTTGACGTTGTCGGAGTTGCTCAAATGACGTCCGATCACAAAATAGACAGCACGAGCTTGTCCGGAACATCAAATTTGCTTAGGAAGGGCACTCATGTTGCCATCTTTTTGTATAAGAATCATCAATACGAATTTCGAGACATCGTGATTAAAAAAAAAATTCCAGACTTTTCCTTCACTGCTAAGCCTACCGCTAAGGCAAATGCTGGGACAATACTTCCACCGCACAATTCATCCAAACAGAGCAAAGGCAAAGTATTAATAAGGATAAAAAAAGTAATAAAAAAAAGATTGTAAAACCTAATACTACCCAAACCGAGACACCTCACCCAAACCGAGACATATGCAGCCCCAGTTTCGCAGATCCCTCTTCCGTCTACATACGGAGAGCATTTCTTCTCTGCTCCCAGTTTCTTCTCCACCCTGACTCTGCCTCCATTTTCTCCCTTCTGGCCGGAACCAAGCCATCTCCCTCAACCTTCTTCCTCCATCCTGCAATCCATGCCAGCTCCTCACCAAACATCCCTTGCACCGCCAGGCAAACTACTCGTTGCCTCAATTGCACGCATTGTTCTTGACTTACTGCACCCAGCAACCAGGCAACTATCTCTTTTCTCCTATTCATGCGTTGGCTGCTCCCTGCTACTTCTATGTACCTTAAATCGCCAGTTCCATTGCCTCTCTCTGCCTTCTAATCTTGCTCCCATTTTACAAAGCCCACGCCAATCATGCCACCTTACTCCCATTTCAAGAATCCTTATGCCTCAGGTTTAAATAACAGAGGAGAGGACACACAGGAATTGGAGAAGGGGAAGAAGCATAAGAGGTGAGTTCTGCCTTTGTGAGAGTTAAAGAAATAGAAAGCTGAAGGCGAAGATTCTGGTAGAAGCTGCTCAATAAGTATAAGGAAGATTTTGAGTTATTACTGCTGACGACAGAAAAAAGGAAATGGATAACTTGGGCTCAAATGAAGCAGAAATTGAACCAACTACAGTTATTGATCAGAGCATAGATATTTCTCATAGATTTCTACATGCAAGGAATGCACAACTATGATTCCCTTCGGACTATCCAATGATACATTTTCAAACACTCGCACCTGCAGTGGTAGTACCCTTTGAAAATAAGCTTCAAAGAACTAGCAAAGACTGAGCAGTTGGTATTGAAGATTTAAATCTTGAAGCCTGGGCAAATAAAGGATGCAAGTATCTCAAGCCCCATGCACTCTTTTAAGATAGAGTAATTTTCATTGCTAAGATCGAGTAATTTTCATTTTAAGATAAGTTCGCACGCTTTTAATATGACTAAAATTTTGCTATATTTGTGATATTTTAATGCAAGTATCTCAAGCCCCATGCACTCTTTTTTAAGCGTTGTGTTATAGACCCCTTCATGTCATGTCAACATAGAGGGAGAGGTCGTGTTTTTGTCATTATGTAGTACATGAAGCCTCATGCATGTTTTAAGTGTGATGAATTTTGATGACCCCTGATCGTAGTGTTACAAGACACTATCTTTTTTAAGCATTGGTAGAAAGACCTTAACTTCCCGATATAATCCCCAAACAGGAATAACACCGAAATGCTGATGAAATTTTGTTGAACGCCACTTTCAACAAAAATGAAATTGAGCTTATTTGAACTAAAATATATTAAATAAACCTTCTAAATTACAAATTAATGATAAAATTTGGAAATAAACTATTATATAATTTTTAAAAAATAATAATTGAATATAAATAGAGATTACATAAGATTTATAGTGGACTGATTGGATCATCAATGAGCTCCATACTCACCAACGATCCCAAACATATTCCTTCAAAGAACTATTAAAAGATGTATGATACCCTGAATAAAGTGTGAGAATAAAAAATTGAGCTTCAACAAATGACTTATAATACATGAATGCTCACCAACTAGTACAAAATAAATTCTTATCGAAATCAAATATTGTAATTATTAAATTGTCACTGGATCAGCGACACAAACACTAGCTGACAGCAGACAAAGTTGAATTCTTAAAATAAATTATTTGCATGTATTTCAATAATAAAATATATCTGTACAAATAATAAACAAATTACCTAAAGTTAATACAAACAATCAAGTTCAAAATACTTGCATGTGCTTCGACGATAACGTTAAATTATTTTAAAGTTGTGTTTGAGAACATTGCACGGGCTTAAAAGCACACTTAAGCTTAAATTTAGGGCCCGTTTGGGAACACCTCGTTTTAATATCGCTATTTCCTTAAGGACGGGGTAATCCGGTTAGGGGCGCCGTTCCGCATATGCTTCTCGCGTTTAGGTTGTTTTTCCAGTGTTGTCCTTCCCGTCTCTCCCCCTTGCCCTCGCCCTTCCCGTCTCGCCTTCGGTTTCGAGCTCTCCCGAAGCTGTGATCCGTGATATGAGGTATTTTTTTTGACCCCACACTCTTGCCCTACCCGATATCCGTCTCCTTCCTTCCCGGAGGCCGTGTTCGATCTCTCTCACAGTTATTTCTGTTCATATGGTGGTTATAAAAGAATCAGTACAAATTCTTGAGCTTTGTTATTCTTATGGCTTATTTTTTCATTTGTTTGGGTCGGTTTTGGTCCCTACAGTGCTGGATTTCGGTTTTGGTTAAGATTTCATTCGATCAGGGAGCTCTGTTTG